GAAAAGAGAGTAAAATAACTGGACTTCAAGTGAAGAAAGAACACTTTAAAATACTAGCCTTTGCAGATGATGTGGCATTAATACTTGAAAACCCAATAGAAGCAGCAGGAGTCCTGAAGGACAAGATTGAAGAGTATGGAGCTGTGGCGGGTTTCAAAATAAATACAGAAAAAACTAAAATTATAACTAAGAACTTGGACGACAAACAAAAAGCAAAGTTACAAGAAATTACAAGATGTCAGATTGTAAAAAAAGCTAAATATTTAGGAATTACGGTTACAAATAAATGTAGTACACTCTATGAAGACAACTATAAAGTACTGCTACAAAAATCTAAACAAGACTTGGACAAATGGAAAAATCTGCAACTTTCCATGATGGGAAGAATCGCTATAATAAAAATGATAATTGTTCTGGTAATTTCAGATTGTCTTTTTGATCCAAAATGTCCTGGTATCTTAACGATTCTTCTCCCACATATACATTAGGTAAGGTAAATGCCTCTAAAGGTATAATCAGTCTTGATCTTTTAGTATAAAAGTTTTTATGTATAGGGTCCCAAACCTTTAATAATGCCGCTCTCTGCCAATGCTGCTTAAAATATTTTTGAGATCCTGCTTTTTCATACCACAGAAAAGCATTCCATCCTAGCAGTAAATCATGGCCCTCAATTTTTAAAAGCCTCTTATCTTCTAAAGTAATCCATTCTTTAATCCATACTATTGCTGTAGCTCTATAATACAATAACCAATTCGGTACTCCAAACCCTCCTCTTTCTTTTACAGTCGTGTAGCATTTTCAATCTTATTAGTGCCCTTTTCCCTTGCCATATAAACTTAGATGTCCTCTGGTCTAAGTCTTTAAACAAGTTTTGATTTTGTAGTATAAAAGTGTACCCTCGGGTACTTATAAAAATGTTTTTAAATGATTGAAAGAAGCATTTACAGGAGAAATCTTGGGCTGTGCCTTTAAGAAAGGGGGCGGAACCCACAAAAACCCCATCATAGATATGGATCTGGATTGGATGAGCACAGTAAATACTAATATCTAATTTTTTGATCCACTCAGTTGCAGCTGGGGAGAGTTTAAAGAACTCGGTCACATCTCCCTGGAAAGTACAGTACTCACATTCCCGTGGCAGGTGAAAATAGTTTGGTGGCTGCACCTCAATAGCATTTGAGTCCTGGTATTTTGCCCCATTTAAACAACAGATCTGCACATCTGCCAAAACCTGTTTGTATTCTGTTAGCCGTCTTCCATACTTTACATGATAAGTCAAATTCTGTGGGCCTCTTGATGTTTATCAGGTTATAGATATCGTGTGAAACTGATTGCATCCATGTTCGCGGCCATTCATTCCTTAGATCAAAATTTTGTGATTGCAGGATTTGTGCAGACCTTGTTGCTGGGCGTTGGGACCTTAGTCTGAGTAGACCCATGTCAGCCACATTTTCTAGAACAGGCAACTCTCTGTTTTCGAGGATTGTTTTATATCCATGAAGAAGAGCATTCTGTCTTTGGAGATGCGGGGGAGCAATGTGACAAAACGTCGGTAGCCAATAGGTCGGAGTGGGTTGATTACATCCGCTGATTGTTCTCATTGTTGTATTAAGTTGGACATGAAGTTTGTGGATGCAGGAGCTGTGGAGCCACACTGAAACACTATATTTTGCAATACTATACACCAACCCCAAAGCTGAGCATCTAAGTGTTGTAGCAGATGCACCCCAAGTTGTACTAATTTTTTGAGGATGTTGTTTCACATGCATATTTTCACTGCTACGTTGGTAAGATGGTGTTTGGTGTAGTGGTTAAGTGCACGGACTCTAATCTGGGAGAACCGGGTTTGATTCCCCACTCCTCCACTTGCACCTGCTGATGTGACCTTGGGTCAGTCACAAGCTCTGTCACAGCTGTCCTTGGAAAAGAGCAGTTTGTGTCGGAGTTCTCTCAGCCCCACCCACCTCGCAGGGTGTCTGTTGTGGGGAGGGGAAGGGAAAGGAGTTTGTAAGCCGCTCTGAGACTCCAAGTGAAGGGCGGGGTATAAATCCAATCTCCTCCTCCTTCTCCCTCCTCCTCTTCCTCCCCCTCTTCCTCCTCCTCCTCCTCCTCCTCTTCCTCCCCCTCTTCCTCCCCCTCTTCCTCCCCCTCCTCCCCCTCTTTTTCCCCTTCCGCTGCCGCTGCCGCTGCCGCTCAAGGTCCTGTCCAGGGTATTGCCAAGGTACTTAGGTGTATGATAGTGTGCAAGTCGCCTGCCATTAAAGGAAACAATCAGTTCACAGTTGGCAAGTCTGTTATTGAGATGGAAACAGAAACATTCTGTTTTTCCTGGACTTGGGATGAGCTGCCATTTATGGTAGTATTCATCCAGAGTTTTGAGGTGCAGCTGATTGCAGGACAAAACAAGTGTGAACTCACACTGGTGCATGATCAGGGGTAATTCATAAAAAGTGGTGCAGGAGCTCATTTGCATAGCTCATTTGCATATGCCACACACCCTTGCAAAGGGCCGCCGCGGGCCGCCTGTAGAAGATCAGGCAGGGAACCCAGGCATGTTTAGAATGCCTTTCTCTCCCTTCCCCAGATGGGTTTTTTTGCACAATGGGCGAGTCTACCTTCTAGCACCCCCCTCCCCAGGGCGCCCACCAATTTTCAAACATAAATGCATTTTAGGAAGAATGAAAAGCACAAAATTTGAAATCGCTCTGCGAGAACTGCTCTTCAAATAACAGCTTTGAGAGAACTTGTCACTGACCCAAGGGTCACCCAGCTAGCTTGGTGTGGACGAGTGGGGAATCAAACCCAGTTCTCCAGATTAGAGTCTGCCGCTCTTAACCACGACAACAAAATGGCTTTCTATTTGCTTGTTTTATGCCCCACTTTTCACCCCAAAGGGGACTCAAAGTCGATTGCCCTTATTCTTCCTTATCCATTTTATCTTTACAACCACATTGTGAGGTAGGTGAGGCTGCGAGAGAATGAGTGACCCACGGTCACTCAGCAAGCTATCATGGCAGAGTAGAAATTTGAACCTGGGACTCCCAGCCACTGCGCCATGCGGGCTAGCTGGGCCTTGAGTGATTTCTCCCCACCTTCTGTTCTGCAGAATTCAAACGCACACCCTGTTATGTTATTTTGTTTGGATTTAATAAAAGACATGACAGCACTTAAAAGCACTATTGGCAGCACTTTTTAATATTGGAAAAAATATATTTAACTGCTAATTGAATTCAACAAACACTGAACCCTTTGGGGGATTTCTCTGCTTCAGAAACCCAGCAATGGGCAAGATCAGCTGTCCGCTCATGTGCGTTCTCTGTCCTGGGCCCCAGTTTGCGGAATGGCCTGCTTGCTGAGGTCAGGAAGCCTCCAACTCTCCTGCTATTGTGCAAACTATGCAAATCTGAATGATTCAAGAGGGCTTTTCCCCACACCTTCAATAAGGCTGTATTGTAACAAAAATGTTTCAGAAAGACGCTTTAATAAAGGGAGGAGACGACTGTGTATAGTATGTACTGTCTGTTGCTGTATGTATAATCCTACAACACAATTTGTGCATCATGTCAGATGAATACAGGTTGTTTCAGATTTCTGCAACCCTAATCCTCTTCCCTTGCTGACTGGCTGTCCCATCTTTTGTATTGCATTGATTTATATTGTGTAATTCGCCTTGAGTCTCAGTAAAAAAGAGGGACTATATGTAACATAAAATGGAAATGGGGATAAAACCTCTGAGGCTTAGATCATGCCCCTGAGAAAGCTCCCACTCTTCCTTTCTAACTAGCATCTAATCTGACCAAGAGTTCTGCAGAAATTGAAGGCTTGCATGGTTATGGTGTATTATTTTGGTTGGTCTTAATAAAAGGTACGGCATAAACTGAGTTGGAGATAGTCATTTGATTTGACTTCCACATTAGAAGGATTTGAAGGGGGGGATAAATTAAGATTAACAGGTCCTCTGTTTATTAAAACGGTCGGTTCTAGGGGAGGTTGATTATGCTTGGGGTGAAAACCTGTCCCCAAGATCAAAGGCCGTCAAAGGTGGATCAAGAACCAACATTGGTGAGTCAACAGGGACAGGACTACAGCCCTCAATCAAAGCCTTGGAGGTGGAGGTCTGACTAATTTTCCTCAATGAGGTTACTAGAGTTTGAAGGCGATTTAACAATTCCCCCTGTTCTACCAGTGGCAAGGAACCAAACAAAGACAAGAGATTAGCTTCAATCTCTTCTCCCAACCCCTGAAGATTTACAGTAATCAGTCCCTGCAGAGGCTCAAAGCTAAGAGGAGCTTGTTGTTCCCTGCAGGGGGGTGCCTCCGGGACCTTTGGAACCTTTAACTCAGTCTCCTTCATGGGAGGGGGTAGATTTGGTAATATTGGCTGGTCAAGCAACAACGAGGAGTTCAAGAGATCAGCTATCTCCATTGGAGTTGGATTTGTGTCACACTTATCCCTAGAAAGGGCTTGAGGAACTAACTTTTGGATTAAACAATTTTTAAAATGCCTTTGAAGCTTAATCCCGAATTTGACATAACTAGAAGTATGTCCATACATATAAATTGGTATTCGGTTTGAGCGAAAAAAAAGTAAAAAGCGCTCATAACGTAAGGTGCCCGGCAATCTTTGTACCTTGACAAGGTCAATATCCGAATGAGTTGTTTTAAGGAGAAAAACCAGATGGTTGCTGGCCTGCCGATTGGTAGGCCAATTCATATATTGACCTTTGGATGGAAAAACATTTACCGCTACACATTTAGAATAAAAAACTAGAGAAAAACCATCCATTTTGTGGCCACTAGGCACAGTTCCAAAGTTCCTTTGGTGTTTCTGGGTTGGTTTCCAAGAACTCACAACACTTAATGTGAGCTTAATTATAGACTACTTTAGTAACATTTAAGCTGAGGAGATAGTATATGAAAATATCAATCATGTAGAAGTTGTTTTTCTATGATGTGTGCTTCAAAGTCTTAAGTTTGTTTTACTGTTCTTTGATAAACAGGTTATAGCAAATGACAGGAGGCCTCTTATGGGAAAAGTCCATTGGGAACAAATGGTGAAGAAAGTATCAAGATTTGGTATACGTACAGGTACTTTTAACTGCTCCAGTGACCCAAGGTATGTTCTTGAAATTTTATTTACTTATTATAAATATTTGTATCTTGAAGATATTATATAGAGTTTTACATATTCTTTTCCAATACTGCTGCATGTACAGGTAACTACTTTGTTGTGTGTGTTTCCAGTGGGAAAGTAGCTTATTTTAAGTGGCAGCAAACAGAAAGTTACAAAGAGAGGCCAGGTAAAAATAATATCCAATCAAAATGTGAATGGTTCCTCATCTTCTTGGAGAGGAGTGACAAGTGGAGTGCCTAAGCGATCTGTCCTGGGACTTGTTTTGTTTGGCATCTTTATCAATTATTTGGATGAAGAGATAGAAGGAATGCTTATTAAATTTGCAGATGAAACTAAATTGGGAGGGGTAGCAAATACAGTAGAAGACAGATTCAGGCTACAGGGTGATCCTGACTGGCTGGAAAACTGGGCTAAAAAAATTAAATGGCTTTCAACAGGGATAAATATAAAGTTCTGCATTTAGGTAGGAAAAATCAAATGCATAATTATAGGTTGAGGGAGACTTGTCTTGGCAGTAATATGTGCAAAAAGGATCTAGGGGTCTTAGTAGATCATACACTGAACAGGAGTCAGCAGTGTGATGCAGTTGCTAAAAAGGCAAATGCCATTTTGGACTATCAACAAAAGTATAATGTCCAAATCACACAAAGCGATGGTACCACTTTACTCTGCTCTGGTTAGATCTCACCTAGAGTATTGTGTTCAGTTTTGGGCACCACAATTTATGAAGGATATAGACAAGCTGGAATTTGTCCAGAAGAGGGCAACAAAGATGGTGAGAGGTCTGGAGACCAAGTCCCATGAGGAAAGGTTGAAGGAGCTTGGTATGTTTAGCCTGGAGAGGAGACGACTGAGAGGTGATATGATTACCATCTTCAAGTACTTGAAGGGCTGTCATGTAGAGGATGGTGCAGAGGTGTTTTCTGTTGCCCCAGAAGGTTGGACCAGAACCACTGGGTTGAAATTAAACCAGAAGAGTTTTCAGCTAAACATTAGGAAGAACTTCCTGACAGTTGGAGCGGTTCCTCAGTGGAACAGGCTTCCTTGGGAGGTGGTGGGCTCTCCTTTGGAAGTTTTCAAACAGAGGCTAGATGGCCATCTGACAGCAATGCTGATTGTGTGAACTTAGGCAGATTATGAGAGGGAGGGCAGGAAGGGTTGTGTAATGATTTCTTGTTTTATATGTTTGTGTGTCTCTTTAAAAGTTTGGTTACATGGCTGTGATAGACTAGAGTGGTTGAAGAGACAAGTGTGGTGTGATTGGTGATTGACAGAGGGGGGAGGGGTTTTGGAAGTGATTCTGAGTGGATGAATATGTATGTCTATCAGGAGTGACAGTTACAGGTTTGACAGTTGATGAAGACAGTTGATAAGTTAGTTCATTCTGAGGTCTGTGAGAGAAGCAGTATTGTGTGTGATATAAGAGTTAAGTTCTGTGTATGAAGGAAAGTGACAAGCAGTTCTGTGTTGTGGCAGATAAAAAAGGAACAGCTGCGGTTGTTCACCAAAAAGGGAGAGAGAAAGCAGAAAAGTTGACTGTATAGGAAACAGTAGAGTAAAGTTTAAGAGAACAAAAGTTATATGAAAGTCTGAGTGACAGACTGGAGAGAAACAAGAAACGTATATGACCTTGAGTTAGTGTTACAAAGTTACCTAAAAAATCCCTGTCAGGAAGGGAGCAGATCTTGTGTGAGACACCAAGCAATTGTTCAAAATATTCACATTACTGGTTACATTGTTATACCCTTTTATTTATGAATTATTTCAATAAATCTTCTTTTATTTAAGTATACCAGCTCTGAAAGAAATACTTCCTCAGGACCACATAGTCCCTCATGAGCCTTAAACGCGACCTACCTACCCAGTAATAGCAAGAGTAAAAGCATAAAGGTTTGGAAATCCTTTAAAATTTCCTGGTGGCAGCCAGATATACCCAGTAGAACAAAACATAAAGAACACTTTTAAAGGGAAACCAGTCCTCCCCATATAAGGGGTCGTCACAGGTTGCCTCAGTGCTTAGTTCTTGTGGCCCTTTCTTACACGGCTAGGGAAATGCTGATTGCCACTTTGGCAATTTTCCTCCAGGCCAATTTGGCTGGGGATCCTGGAGGTTTTTTGTCATCTTCTGGGCGTGGAACAGTGGTCACTGCGAGTTTGGGGGGGGTGGTATTTGTGAATTTCCTGCCTTGTGCAGGAGGTTGGGCTAGATGACCCTGGAGGTCCCTTCCAACTGTATGATTCTATGAAAAGGATTATCACTTCATGCAGAGTGGTTGGGGGCCACTCCCAGCTGCTGAGATAAAGAATGAGATCCTACTTGGCAACTGTTCGAACGGGAGTGGTCTTTTTACTGAAAGGTGTTCTAAACAGGCCTTTCTTTGTAACATTTTCCCCACCCCTAATTTGCTGCTGTTTGCAACTTTGAGTATAAATGCATCTGTCTAATGGATTAATGCTTCATTTATCCGACCGTTAAAAGCTTATGCCTGAAAAAAAAATTGTTAGTGTTTAAGATGCTACTGGACTCTAGTTCTATTTTGCTGTTACCAGACTATCACAGCTTCTTGTTTAGAAATATCCTCATGGAAAGGCTATCTACTTATGTCCTCATTTTGTCAATTTAAAAAATGGGGGTGTTATGAACTTTGGGACATAGTGCATGTAGGATCAATCTGTAAATACTGTCCTAAATTGTTGTGAGTTGTATATGTAGTTCTTGACTGGGTCTCTGAAAAGGAAGGAGATTGGCTGGGTTGGGAATGGGGAAAGTTTGCGTGAGATGTGGAGTGTCAAACTCTGTCTCTAGTTTACCTTGATTTGTAAGGGGAGGGAAATTCCTGAGGGGGGGTGAATGGCTGAGTGTATGTGAACTGCTCTATTGTAGACGATGTAACTCTTCCCAAGCTACCTCCCTAGTCTAGGGGACGACCTTGAAGCTAAGACTGTGCCAGCTTGCTCTTATAGATAAAGAAACTGTATAATCTTCTTTGTGGTCTCTGTGCATCACACCACTGGGATATAGTGCCGACCCCAATCGGTAGAATAGAAAGCAAAGGGACTTTTTGTGCCCGCTCCCCCATCACGTGCAGGGCTCCAGTGCGCATGACTATGGGAGGGGCACAACAATCCCACCAGCTTTCTTCTGACCGCTGTGCTGTTAGGAACCTTTCCGCCTCGGTCAGTAGTTTTTTTTTTTGTCTTTTCTCTCTCTTCTCGGCCTCTCGGGCCAACTTTCTTCTCTCCAAGTATATGGAAAGATATTGTGGACTAATTAAAGTTTGACTGAGTACTCTGCCCTGGCAGACTCCCTACGTCCCCGTCCCCCCAACGGACACTCCCTTTGTCTCCTGTGCCTCAGGGAAGCCCATCGAGTGGATTCCTGCACGTACTGTTCTAAATTCTCGTGCCAAACAAGAAAGAACAGAGCCGCTAGACTACACACCGCACTACTAGAACAGGCCCTTTCACCGATGGCATCGTCTCAAGATACGTCTGGTCATTATTCGATGTCAACTGTGGTGTCTACTTCGACAACCGCGATGTCTCCGACACCGACCACCATTGAGATCGATCGGTCGGCACTGAAACGTTAGTCAGCGACACCCCAGTTCGACGCCCATACTCCCACTAAAAAGCACCGGGAGGGCAAGGACTCCAGGGCCGTCAAGCATAAAAAGCATAAGAAGAGCTCCCCTGGCAGGGTTCCATCGACCACATGTCGACAATCAGAACTGGTTTCTGCTCTGGGAGCTCCCCTGCTTGACTCATCAGGCCGTGGCCAGCTACAGGGTGCATCATCCTCACCTATGCTGTGCCTCCATCCAGCTCACAGATTCTGAGCAGGCTATGGACTTGACTCAGGTCTCCAGATCTTCCAGTGTCAAGAGCCGTCGATCGACACATGGGGCGATCGCTTCTGTACATCATTCTCCACGACACTTTCCAAGCGATGATCGGGACCAACCATCGGGACCGTTCCCTCCACCACCGATCCCTTGGGATAAACGTCAATGGCAGTACCTCTACGGAGCCTACTCCCTGGCAGTCAACCTACCCTGGCTCCTGCCGCATATGCCCATGGATTGGGACCGACAGTCCGCGTTGTCTCGACTGTCTCGATACTGAGAACCCCCGAGGGCCCTGGAATTACCACAACCGTTGATACCAATGGATACGTGGCACCAGCAGAAGTCTGTGACCGCTCGAACACCTACGCAACTGATACTGATGCAACCGACACCAGAAATCCCAGTGCTGTTTTTGGACCCCTCAGAGCATTCGGGCTCTTCTGATTCTTCTGGTCGCTCAGAGGATGAAGGTCCAGTACAACCTCTGGGCCCCTCTACACCGCAGAATGGGGCTGAGGATCTTCCGATCTCCCCCTCCGAGGACCTCAGATCCTATGGGGAATTTATAAAGCGTATGGCTAATACTTTGGCTTTGTCGACGGTGCAACCCCTACCTACCGTTACCGAATCCGTTTTCAATATCATCCAGATGGACACGTCTACGGCAGTGGCCCTGCCCATGACATCGGTTTTGCTGCAAGCCACCAAAGCCCCATGGACCCACCCGGCCTCCACCCCTATTTCCAGTTGCAGAATAGACCACATGTACCGTGTTTCCCCGAAAATAAGACACTGTCTTATATTTATTTTTTCTCAAGAAGACACACTAAGGCTTATACCACACATGCATAGAAATCCTGCTAGGGCTTATTTTGGGGGTAGGTCTTATTTTCGGGGAAACAGGGTACAAGGTCCAAAAAGCAGGAGCTGAGTTTTTATTTACTCATCCCAAACCAAATTTTGTAGTAGTCAACTCGTCTTCTAAGGGCAGACGTACCCATTCCTCCCGTCCTGATAAGGAAGGAAAGAAGCTTGATTCCCTCGGAAGAAAATTTTACTCTGCTGGAGCATTAGGTATTAAAACCTCCAACTACACTGCCTGTATGGGCAGGTATTAATATGCCCTTTGGGAACAGTTAACCGAGCTTATAGCAGCTCTCCCTGAGGACCTCAACTGTCAAGCCGGACGCATACAGAAAGAAGGCATGCTTCTGGCCAAACATCAGCTTAATTCAGCCAAACATGATATCTGTGTAGCAGCTAAAACACTTGCATCTGCCGTCGCTCTCCGACGACACGTGTGGCTGTGCTCTACATCACTGCAAGAAGATACTAAGGCCTTTGTGGAAGACCTCCCCTTTGAGGGTGAAGGCTTGTTCAGTTCCATGACAGACTCTGTCTTACAGGATCTGGATAAGAGTAAGTAAGTTTATTAAGAACAGTCATAAGACCAGCAAAATAGACCAAAATAGTACAGCACAGAATCTACAACATAGGATCCTTACAGCCTTAATTACTAAAATACCAAACCGGTCAATTCCATCATTAATGGCTCATACATTCTGCGCTTTTTGATTACCAAGTAACAATATTTAGCATTGCGTGTGACAGAATCATAAGTATTGGCCAATAAAAACTTCATCAAACAATCCTCGTCATATGTAAGATAATGAGCCAGGGGGTGTCAGCAACTGCTGTCTCTCTTCATCATACAAAGGACAATGTAGTATTATATGGTAGGCAGACTCCACCTGTTCTAACAAACAGGAGCAAATTCTCTGATGCATGGGGGTCCGGGTATATCTACCATAAAGTACTGCTGAGGGTAAAACATCGAGCCGTGCTCTAGTAAATGCCCATCTATAGTTAGGGTTTTTTATGAGCCCAAGGTAAGATGCAGCATTTAAACCTGGTCCCATCTTTAATCTCTTATAATAGGAAGGCAGGGCTGCATAGTCGTTTTGTGCATTTGGTGTATTAGGTTCTTTGCATACTGCAGGCCTCCTTCTAACAAATGTTCAGGATCTAATCCAATTAGTTTCAATTTATCTACTACTCTAAGAGCCCATTGGGGATATGGTATTGGTGACAAAAGATCAGGAATAAGTCCCACCGGATAAGAGTATTAAGACATCAAGGAACCTTGGAGTCTCTCAGGTGTCTCGACAGACCAGGCCTAAAGCCTGGAATAAAACGTTGTACCATAGATCCTCACAAAAATCGTCCCCCGAGGGGACTTCTGGTGATGGTGGCGCGCTAGAGCAGACTCACCTCCCGGGGGTGAAGCTGCACTCCAGCCGAAGGAGGGGGTGCGCAGGTTCGTCATCCCCCCCAGAGACCCGGTTGAAGGGACTCTGGCCATGGAACTTTTGAGAGGTTGCCTCTTCGATGGCGGAATGCCGGGGAATTGAGGCGCCTCTCCGTTCCGACGGTTCTCTGTGCTGAGAGACCGAGTAGATCTAAACAACGCTAACTGGGGCAAGCGCAGGAGATTGAGCGTTTAAAACCGAAAGTAAACGAGGTCTGAGAACTGCTTATGAACGTGAGTCGTTTAAGCGTTGATTAAAGAGAAAAGAAAGCTCCCCACCCTAACTACGCAATAGAGAATTAGGCGAGGGGGGGAGCGGAAGAATAAGCGGTTAAAACTGTTAAGAAGTACCTACCAAGGAGTGTTTGAGCGTTTAAACGCATATTCAGAGACTTTCAAAAAGTTTGCGAAAGTAAACAATCTGAGAAACATGGTGGGGAAGAGGCCGGAAAAGGAGAAACTTTTGAAAGCAAAAGGAATTGAGAGCCCAAAACCGGAAGGAACCAACGAGCTGGCAAAGACTTTGGCAAAATAGATCTGGGAAATTACAGGCCAGTCAGTTTGATGTCGATACTGGGTAAGTTGGTGGAAACAGTTATTAAGGAGAGAATTAGCAGGCACATTGCCGAACAAAAACTATTGAGGCAGACTCAGCATGGGTTCTGTAAGGGAAGATCTTGCCTCAGTAACCTGTTAGTGTTCTTTGAGGGAGTGAACAAAAATGAAGACAAGGGGGACCCAATAGATCTTGTTTACCTTGACTTCCAGAAAGATTTTGATAAAGTTCCTCATCAAAGGCTCCTAAATAAGCTCAATAGGCATGGGATAAAGGAAAAGTCCTCTTGTGGATCGAAAACTGGCTAATTAATAGGAAATAGAGTGAGTATAAATGGGCAGTTTTCACAGTGGAGGGTGGTAAGCAGTGGGGTACCACAGGGATCAGTACTCAGTCCAATGCTTTTTAACTTGTTCATTGATGATTTGGAGTTGGGAGTAAGCAGTGAAGTGGCTAAATTTGCGGATGACATGAAATCATTTAAGGTGGTGAAAAGCAGGGAGGATTGTGAGGCACTCCAAAGGGATCTGTTGAGGATGGGCAAGTGGGCATCAATGTGGCAAATGGGGTTCATGTAGCCAAGTGCAAAGTGATGCACATTGGAGCCAAAAATCCTAACTATAAATACATGTTGGTGGGGTCCAAACCGGCAAAGACTGACCAAGAGAGAGATCGTGGAGTCGTAGTAGATAACTCACTGAAAATGTTGAGACAGTGTGCGACTGCAATAAAAAAGGCCAACACTATGCTGGGGGTTATTAGGAAAGGAACTGAAAACAAATCAGCCAGTATCATAATTGTTGTTGTTCAGTCGCACAGTCGAGCCCGACTCTTCGCGACCCCTGTATAAATCAATGGTGCAACCTCATTTGGAGTACTGTGTGCAATTCTGGTCACCACACCTCAGAAAGGCTATTATAGCATTGGAAAAAGTGCAGAAAAGGGCCACTAGAATGATAAAGGGTTGGAACACTTTCCCTATGAAGAAAGATTAAAGCATTTGGGACTCTTTAACTTGGAGAAACGACGACTGAGGGGTGACATGATCGAGGTTTACAAGAATTATGCACGGGATAGAGCAGGTAAAGAAAGAAGTACTTTTCTCCCTTTCTCACAATACAAGAACTTGTGGGCACTCAATGAAATTGCTGAGCAGTCGGGTTAGAACGGATAAAAGGAAGTCCTTCTTCACCCAAAGAGTGATTAACACTTGGAATTCACTGCCACAGGAGGTGGTGGTGGCTACAAGCATGGACGGCTTCAAGAGGGAATTGGATAAACCTATGGAGCAGAGGTCCATCAGTGGCTATTAGCCACAAGGTATGGATAGGGACTCTTGGTCTGGGACAAGGGATGCTCTGTATTCTTGGTGCTTGGGGGAGGCAGTGGGAGGGCCCCACTGGTGGACCTCTTGATGGCATGTGGGATTTTTTAGTCACTGTGTGACAAGAGTGTTAGACTCGATGTGGCATTGGCTTGATCCAACATTGGCTTCTCTTAAATTCTTATAACTGCACTATTAGACAAGCTGAGTTTGGTATGGTTCTGAAATAAGAGAAGCAGAAATAGCAGATCAGTAAGAGGAGGCCTCAGATTCCAGACAGTTCAAGGCAAAAGTGGTAGAGCTGAGTGCCATCAGGTGGTAGTGAGAGCTGTCGGCGTTGGTGAGGTCCCTCCAGTGTGTGAAGAAGGAATCGCAGAGGGTCAAAGGCAGACTGATTCCAGAGATCCCAGTGAAGAGAGAGAAAACAAAGGGACCATAAAATAAAACAATATCACTCTCTTCTCCAGATAGGCTGAGAGAGTTACTGGCCTAACGTCACCCAGCAAGCTTCTGTGGCGGAATGAGGATTTGAACTGGGGTCTCCCAGGCCCTTGTCTGACACTCTGACCGCTCTGCCACACTGACGGGGGGGGGGGGGGGGGGGTGGGGGAAAAAATAATTCCATTTTTTTAAATTAATTTTATAAAAAGATGTCAAGTATACATAAATAGACCCATTATATCTCAAGATTGCTGTATAAACATTAATACAAACTGTAAGTGCAGATACATATATATCACAATGCCGCCTATTAACTTGTCAGCAGGATCTTCCTGTGACCATATCCGTGTCACTTACTTGTGATTTTCCAGTTATTCTAAGATTGCTATAATAGTAACATATAATAAATCCAGATATATCTTAGAAGAACCTCAACAGTATTTTATGAGAGTGCTCGGACCATAAAAAATTCTCATAGATGTAGCCATTCTGCATAGCCAGTATGTGCTGGTAATACATCGTTTTCTGTGAAATATGTTATGAGAGGCCACCATTTTCGAATGAATCTGGAATGGGACCCCGCATGCCCTTTTGTGTGGGACTCGTATTTATCTGCTACTTCGCCCATCACAAAGTGGTCCCAACATTTATTTCTCCATTGAGCAATAGAAGGAGGATCAGGATTTTCCCATGAGGCAGCAATAGAAAGCCGTGCCGTGGCTATTAATGTGGCGGCTAGTTCGGTATTTTTTACTTCGTTTTCATCAATGCTATGTCTTGAATTAAGAAGCAAGACAGCCGGATCAAGTGGGATGTCTTCTGGAACAGAGAAGCTGATTGAGCGAGGGCTGGACTGAGCCCTGAAACCTCCACCTTGATAGAGCATTCTTACAAGTGTATGAAATACTTCACCATTGCCCAGGGTGCTATGGCACCTGGGCATTCCATAGGGACGTACTGGGGAACGAGCTGCCCCTAAGAAGACTGCAGACCTGAATGTTGACCCTTTCCTTTTTGGTATGTTTGTTATGGTATGGGATTGGTGAAGGTGTGCATTCTGTATCCCACTGAAACTAGTAGGCAGTTAAGTAGAACTGTAAGATTTAAAGAAATGCCTTTTGATATCTGAAAATATTGGAAATGTAGATGAATACTGAAAGAAAGTAAATACTTTGGGGGCAGGCTGTGTGCTTTTTTGCGTGGGGATAATGGGGGGCACTTTGGTGTGATTATTGGGAGACCTACAAAGATTCAGCAGATGGATCATATTAACAGAAAAGCGAACACTTGCATATTTACATTTTTGGAAGAGTTGTTTGTGCATTATGGAACTCTTAAGTTCTGTAAGACAAATGATGAGACTTTTATTCTAAAACGTTGATTGCTTTCTTTGTAGATACTGCAGGAGGAGAGGCTGGGTAAGATCCACACTAATTATGTCAGTTCCACAAACTACAACATCCAAAGGAAAAGTGATGCTTAAAGAGTATGGTGGACATAGAATTGAGACGGAGCATATTTTCAAATGGATAACATCCCACACAGCTTCTCGGATCAAAACCATCTTCAAATCAGAACACTTGAAAGAGGAATGGAAGAAAAGCGACCAGTATCGAGTAAAAATATACCTGTTTGCGAAGTTAGACCAGCCTCCTGCCTTCTTCTCAGCACTAAGTGTAAAGTTTACTGGGAGAGTTGAGTTTATTTTTGTAAATGTAGAAAATTGGGACAACAAGAGTCAGATGGCAGAGATGGGTATCTATAAGATGCCATCTTACATCCTTAGAACTCCAGAAGGCATTTACCATTATGGGAATAATACTGGTGAATTCATTTCTCTGCATGCCATGGACTCCTTTTTGCGTTCTTTACAACCGGAAGTTAATGATTTATTTGTCTTAAGTCTGGTCTTAGTTAACCTAATGGCTTGGATGGACCTATTTATCACCCAAGGTGCCACCATAAAGCGCTTTGTTGTTCTCATAAGCACTTTGGGGACCTATAATTCACTCTTAATTATTTCTTGGCTACCAGTCCTAGGTTTTTTGCAGTTACCTTATTTAGACGGTGTCTACGAGTGTAGTTTAAAACTGTTTAGGTATTCTAACACGACTGCATTGGCGTCCTGGGTGAGAGCTGACTGGATATTCTACTCGTCACACCCCGCCTTGTTCCTCAGCACTTACCTGGGCCATGGCTTATTAATAGATTACTTTGAGAAAAAAAGACGGCACCATAACAGTGATGAAGTAAATTCCAATAACCTAGAGTGGCTTTCGAGCCTTTGGGACTGGTACACTAGCTACCTGTTCCACCCCATTGCGTCTTTCCAGGACTTTCCCTTTGAATCAGATTGGGATGAAGACCCAGATCTGTTCCTTGAGCACTTGGCTTTCCCTGCTTTGTGGCTTCACCCACTAATACCAACTGATTACATTAAAAACTTGCCCGTGTGGCGATTTAAATGCCTTGGTGACCATTCTGAAGAGGAAATGGTGGAAATCTCTCAAAGTGAAAGTGATTCAGACGGTGAATGCAAAGATGTACCAAGTGGTAGCACAAAGGTATCTGAGGATGAGCAGAGTACCCTTCAAAACCCTTCTTGTGAAGGAGTACTTCTGCACAGTGCCAAGATCTGTTCACGTGCCAAAGCCAGGTCATGCAGGGCTTTGGAAGATACAGAGCCTGATTGGTCAGGTTGGCCTGCTGCTACTTTGCATTGTACAGAATGTGTTGTATGTCTAGAGAATTTTGAAAATAGATGTCTGCTGATGGGCTTACCATGTGGCCATGTGTTTCATGAGAACTGCATTGTTACGTGGCTGGTTGGCGGGCAGCATTGCTGTCCAGTTTGTAGGTGGGCCTCTTATAAGAAAAAGAAGCCATACATAAATCCTCGTGCTTTGTCAAATCTCAACCCATCTTAGCGGTGTGACCTTCCCACACATTTCCTGCTTGCCTTTTACATATTAGTCAAACAGACCTCGTGGTTTGAAGTTTTAGTTTTAATGTTAGTATGGTGAATGAAAATAAACGACACTAACCTTGATGACTGACTCACTTGGTTGCCTTGTATGTTGAAACAATAAATACTTATTGTACAGGTAAACACTTTCCTTCTCAACATTCTGAAGTTCAAAAGTTAGCATTATTTGGGGTTGTTTTGCTTTTGCTTTTTTCCCCCCTCAAATATATTCTAACAAATGCTCAACAGGAGATAAACTAATAATTCTAATGTAAGATGATTATTTTAAATGTTTATCCTTTTGGTCTCTTCAGCCCACTTTCTGTTGAATAATGTATGGTCTGTGAGAATACATTTAAAAACAAATCTATGAAAATAAATTATTTTAAAAGAAGACTACCAATTTTTCACATTAATCATTCCAGTAAAAGTTTTGTGCTTTCAAAGTGTGGTTTATTCAGAAGATATGGCTGTGTGATTTGTATCCTACTCTGTCTTCAGGGAACTTTGAATAGCTTGTGGGTTCTTGGATCCAAGCCCATCTGCCTTGCCGACATTGCTCTATAAAGTGTCATGTACATTGTTTATTGTCATTTATTAGCATCATATGCTAAATTTCAGGATTTGTTTCTATCCTGCCTACTTCGGTGTCTCAGAGAAGCAATACACCTGATTCTCAGTATGGGTCCACCTGTGGGTACTTAAATCCAGAGACACCAGGCCACCACAGCAGTGTAGCTAGCCACCAGACCTTGGCTTCTCTCAGTAAACGGTAGGGGGAGGGCCCTTTCAAGGGCTGTTTTGGCCTCCCAGTTTTGGCCTCTGCTCCCTTCCCCGTTGTCGTGGTGGGAAGACGAAGTGGAGCAAACACCAGGTGACCTGCAATTTGCACAACTCACCCAGAAGCGCTAGTGGCTACGGCTTGATGCCACACAACTCGCCTGGGCTCAGCAGTAGCCACCACCCAACTCACCTGAGCAATTTGCTGCCACATATCCTTAGCAACTTGGCTGGACTTTTTCTAGGGGAGAGTGCGACCCCACTCTGCTTTGGAAGCTTGCTGACTAAACTTGGGCCAATCACTCAGCCAAATCTACCTCACAGGACTGTTGTGAGGACTACAGAGAGGAGAATGATGTAAACTGTTTTGAGTCCCCACTGGGGAGAAAGGTGGGGGTAGAAATGAAGTCAATAAAGTTGAAGGCAAGAGGGCAGGTAAAGGTGAGAGGAGTGGGGAGAAGGAAGCTGCTAAAGGTGAGCAAAAGAGGAAATAGTGTGGGAAAGGGAATATGGGAGGAATTACGTGACCCCTCCCAGGCCTTGTGGGTTCCCTGCTTGTTATATCAGTCTGACACTACAGTTTTAACAAGGACTCTAGCAACTACATCAGCACAACAGGCAGAGACTAACCTGCAGGAGATTGCAGGGTCAGCCAAGTGTGTCTCCTCTGGAGAGGGAAGGAGAGTGATCCAGACACAAACCAGGCCTTGGATCTAACAATTTTTAGTCCTATAAGAAAGCATCTGTAGCAGGACCACCTCTAAAAGTCTTACAGCCCTATGCTGAAAGATTGGCACTGGCTCCTCATTTGTTTCTGGACACAATTCAAAGGGCTGGCTCTTATCCTTTCGTGCCCCAAAAGGGCTTCAGGTCAGGGCACCTGAATAACCATTTCCTTCTGTACTGTCCAGCCTCCCAAGCCCTGTTTTCTGTGCCCCTGCCTTCAGAGCTGAAATGGGTGGCAACTAGTGACAGTGCATTTGCCCCTTCCTCTTTATGGGGTCATGCCAAAAACCTAACTTCTAACTAAGGGACTTCATCCTTGTAGAAGAAGAAAAAGAGTTGGTTTTTATACCCCATTTTACCATAAGAAGTCTCAAAGTGGTGTACAATCGCCTTTCCCTTCCTCTTCCCCACTACAGCCACCTTGTGAGGTAGGTGGGGCTGAGAGAGTTCTGAGAATGGTGACTTGCCCAAGGTCACCCAGCAGACTTCGTGGAGAATCAAACCCAGTTCTCCAGATTAAAGTCTACCACTTGTAACCCCTACAGCACACTGGCTCTCTTGTAGCTGTTATATGTTTGACTTCTGGCATGAGGTCTGTTTTATGGTATCACTGTACTGTTTTCATGTCCCTGACTTGTTTTGTCTTATATATTGATGGTGATGGTGCAAATTGCCTCAAACAAGAGCCTGGAGGTGCTGCATTGCAATTGTCTAAATAAGTATAATTGCTTGTCTGCCAACACAGACACATCCCTCTTAAAGCCATTAAAGTCAATGAGATTAGAAGGGTATAATTTCTGTTCAAGACAGCAGTGGAGTGCACAGGAGCGGAGCTCCGGCAGTAAAGAGCCCAGGGGGCGGGCACATGCAACAAGCCCCACCCCCTGCTCCCAGCAGCACTCAGTTGGAGCAAGAAGCAGCCAGGTGAGTTCCAGAGGGGCCCCCATCCAAAACAGTCCCGTGGCACCTTTAAGGCCAAGTTTTGTTCAGGTACAAGCTCTCCCTCCTCTGCCAGGACAGATCTGCACGTTCCCCCTCCCCCCCACACACACTAGCCAGCCATCCAAAACAGTCCAGTGGAGCCTGAGCGGTGGGTGCTGCCTTCTGATACACTTCAGGTGAGGTCAGGGGGTGTGGCCTATGCAAATGAGTCGTGCTAATGAGCTCCTGCACCTCTTTTTCTAAGACATGACCCCTGCCTGAGCCTGGTATTGCCACAGAGCAGTGGCACCCGTGGTTTCTGTGGTGCAGGGCTGTGGCCATGGACATGATACGGGATTTCATGGTGTGTTTGGGGTGTCCCAGCCAATGTTCCCTCTCAGCTGTGGAGTCTCGTGAGCAAGAATTCCACTTTGTGGGCTACGGGCATTAATGTTGTGAGCAGGAGATTTGGCTGCTGCTGCATAAATTAGTTTGCTCTGGAGCCCTCCTTCCTGAGCTGAGACAAAAAGGTGTGAGCCGGAGGCTGAAAAACTGTGAGCTGGCTCACACCGACTCAGCTTAGAGGGAACCCTGGGACTCCCAGCACGAGGAAGGAGCCCAGGCGTCCATGAGGGCCCTTGCCTCAGAATCGTGTTTTGGCGGCATGGGGCCTGTCACCACGAGGCCGCCGCGTGGACCCGTGGTTTCTGTGGCGCAAGAGGGGTGGCCGTGGTGGGCGTGCGTGTCCTGTGATTTGAGGGTGTGTTTGGGGCGACCCAACGGAAGCATCCCTGAGGACCCCCGTGCTTCGGGACCACCGCTTCCTGCAGTTCCGTCGTGGCGCCACGGGCTCGTGGAGGGGGGGGGGCGCTGCCTATATAGTCTAAGAGGCAGGGTCTGCACAGCAGGGCGGTGGTTGCATTTCGTTTCAGTGTAAAAAAACCCCATATGAATCCATGAGGATCCGTGTTTTGTTTTGTTTTTTTTACAACATATTTTATTAGGTTTTGCCTTCGTAACAGTATAACATACATAAACACATTGGTGTATTAAGTACATAAAGATTGTAAAATGGTATTGTTTTGGAAGTATGCAATAAAGGGTGAGTAGATATCTACATAGATTTATGCAATGATATATACAGGATACAATTGTTGACTTTCAGCTTATAACAGTTATAACTTCAGTGGATAGTTGGTGTTACAGTAAACACATACAAAACATATTTAGAAGCAATATTTGTTTACACGTTACCAGAGATGAAAAGTATCAATTTCTTTTGGGATATCATCGAATTGATGTAAATATTCCTAGATAGGGAACCAGACAGCAATAAAAGAAGATTGGACCGGAATCTTGTCAAGCCGCGTAAGGTTAGAGGATCCGTGTTGATCCGCCTTGTACCTTCCCCCCCCCCCCCCCTATCTTCTCTCTCAGGAGGGGGGAGGGAGTCTTGGGCGGGGGGGGGCGAGCAGAGGCGGCGTCTCTCCTCCTCCTCCTCCTCACTCTTTCTCCCCCCCCCCTTCCGCGGGGGGGCCTCTCCCATAGAAAAGCAGCGGCT